TAAAGTAGATAGTAATAACTCAATTAGAAATTGGTTGAATCAGATGTTTAGAAAGCAGGATGAGTGAATAATGTATAAAATTGTATTTATTCTATAAAAGTTACTCTATTTATCCATAATGTGCGCTTATTTCGCCATAATAAGATTTAATTTAAGGACTATTATCTCTTAAGCATTTGTATGCGTAACAATAAATACTCGGACGACCTTAGTGTTTTATCAAATCCTCAACTTTACAAGTCGGATAATCATTTAATAGCGAATTAATAGATAATTATCCTATAGAGTTCTCTCATAACCTTACACCGTACTCCTTGTTTTTCATTTTAAAGTCCATGAGAACGCTCCTCGAGCTCTCGTATTACCGTATACTAATAATTTTACCAGCTAATCCCCTAGCAAAAGTTGAGTACATAAAAAGCTCTCAACTCCAAGAGATGAGAGGCCTGTGATGCGATGAATCTCGAAATAAAATTCTGTGCACCTTATATGAGATCGGGAAGAAGGATAATTGCGATAGAAGCAATAGAATCGTCTTATCGGCAATCGCTGCTACGCGCGTTGTATCCATAAATCTCTCGCGCGGCGTTGATTAAAAACAAATAATTAACGCATTTCGCGCCCCGGTCCACCGGATCCTTTACGGCCGAGTGGCTTCCTGTCTGCGCATACCTACGGAGAAGCTCACCAGGAGACAGAGATCGAGCAAACACATGGAAGCACGCGTATAAACAACAGGCCTGGGCCAACAAGGCCGCCCTTTACCCATCAGCCTAATGTTTGGTTAGCATTTGCATATGCTTGTTTGGCCCATATCCATACCTTGAGCTAGAGGATGGGATGCAAAGTGGGCTGGGGGTGAGTGGAAGTGGGTGCCATCCCACGCGCATTACCGACTGTATTGCGGTTACATAATAGTCACGTAGTTAGACCTGCAGCTCGTAGAGTTTCTCGTTACCGTGACAGAGAGCGACGAGCTCATTGCGCCATTCATTGACAATTAAGAAACAAACAGTTGTCGAAGCACCGATTAGCCCCTGCAGCGATTATTATTTCACCTCTTATCTGGCACTCGCCGCCCAGGTCCTGCCCCCCCCCGTCTCCATCCCCCTCCCCCTTTTTTATTTATTTATTTATTTATTTTTATTTTTTTTTTTTTATCCATTTAATCAGCACCTGTTACTCTCACTGTTACTGCACTACCGTGTGTGGATTGACTTTTATAATTCATTGGTACTTGGGTTTCTATGGGATTTATTACGATACACTTGTAAGATTAGAATATTTTCAAATCCCAATGCTCATTCGGCGGCATGTTTATATATTTTTTTTCTTTACATTGTTCCGTGAAATATAATTTATAATATTATAAAATACATGCCGTCTTATGAACGAGATGAGATAATTAGAATAGAGTCGTAATTAGAGAAAAATATTACTAGAGAATAATATTACTAATGCAATTGCTTTTCGTTGATGAGCGTGTAAACTCATTATGAATTCTTATGTATTCGATGTACGGACAGCAGAAGGAAATTTTTACACATCATTTGTACACCTTAGGTGGTATTCGAATTTAAAAAAGAAATATTTTTATATTCATTATTACTTCTAAAAGACATTACATTGCAATGGAAATACATTTGCTAAAAATGTTCAAAGCGAAAGCAATAGAAATAAAATATTTTCACGTACATAAGCGAATATCACTAACATCTATCACAAACATTGAATTTAATAAATTAGTAAATTTAAATAAATAAAAAGACATTAAATTAATTTGAAATAATATTTTTAATTACAAATTGTTAATATAACATTTATAACTTTTATTTTTCAATTAAAATACTTTTTACAATTACAAAATTTTTACTTTTAATATTTGTACAAATTCGCCCTCTTTTTATAGAACTTCAATTACGTTATTGATAACAATCATCAAGAGTTAAAAATATAAAACAATGTAATTAATTTCATATTTACGATAAATATCAGCGATAGAGCAAATTATTTTTCAAATACTAAAATTCGTATGATAATGGAAAAAACTTCACGTGATGAAATGGAAAATTGCTATATTTTCTAAATAACGAACTTACTGTCATTTCCTACAATTTTTAATCAAACATATAACCATCAAGTAGTACATTACATATACAAATAATGATTTATTTAATGGCTTTATAAGCTGTATGGATATTTTGTTTAGAAATTGTATCGTGTCCGCAATAAATTGCTACATATGCAAGAAATTTATTGTAATAAGAGTTATGAATTAGTTAAATATAACATGCCACGCATAATTATATTATACACTCCATTTTGTAATATCAGATAAAGAAATATTCAAGCTCTATGAGTATTTTATTATGAATTTTAGTCTTGATACATTTGTGTTCTTATTTTTATAATCACAATAATCACAATAATCACAATAGCAATAACAATAATAATAATAGTAATAATAATAGTAATAATAATAATAATAATAATAATAATAATAATAATAATAATAATAATAATAATTATTATTATTATTATTATTATTGTTGTTATTATTATTATTGTTATTATACATTGAATAGACTAAAGTTAGACGAGTACGTTAAATTGTATCGATTTTTATTTACTCCATAAAAAATTGATGCAAGAATTTGAGAATTTGAGAAGAACGAAAATATGATAGAAACACAATCTATCCAATTGCATTTTATTAATTCTCATCGATTTATTAATAAATCAGCTTACAGGGAGCGGTCGGTTAAAAATTTATTCAAAATCATAGAATCAGTCGAACTTTCCAGTCAGTCGGTAACTTGCGTCGCTACCCCTCCAACTACCCTCCAACTCGGCTTTCCTTGGCCAAATGTTTTCAGTTTTATTGGCACGTCATATTGTATCTCTTTGCTGATTAAGTGGGTAACATTGCGGTCGTAGACTAATTTCTAATTTACCGGGGAGTCGCGTGACATGGCTTAAGATCGCGATAATTCGAATCCAAGTCATAACTAACTACACGCGATCCTCTTTTCATATTTCCTTTATTTTCGCTAATTGCTAGTGCCACGTTTATAAAGAGAATCACACTACACTGGTGGAATGAGGTAGAGCGGGAAGATTTGATACAAGAGAATAATGTTGTTAGGGCCGTGGATAACGATATGAAAATTCTTAAATGTATTTTAGAGTACATTACGTTTACGAGAAATGTATTATTACAATAATTATACAGACAACGGGCCATTTTAGCAAAAGTGCGTTACTCCCGCAAGATAAGCACATCGAATTAACAATTTTCCTGCGCGACGGACAATCGAATTATGTAAATGATGTTGAGAAAATTTCTAAATTTTTTTCTAAGAGAATATATATTTTTACGCAAGTATTAAGTAGCAACGAAAAATTGATTTTAGAGCTCTGTACTTAAGCACTATCATAAGCCATCATTTAGTTAATGTAACTTTAATCTAATTTTGTTTTTAGTATGCACTTATGTGTTAATTGACATTACTTTAAAATTGCACTTCATTATCAAAGCTGAGAAATCGTAATAGAGAGTTTTTATTTCAGTAGTCGTATTAATCATTAGTCGTTCATTACATTGTAATGTCTAAAGAAAACTAGGATTTTTATTAAATATTTCGCATAGTTGATATTGAAAATTCAATTCAGAATGATTAAATGAAATGATGCCAAAATGAAATATAATGTCTGCAATGATAATAATTAAATGAATGAACGATAGCCATAATCTTATTATCATGATATATCTACAATGATACTGGTATAATATTTTCATAAATTAGAGTCCAAATGAAAATTTCCATAAACAATTAAATGTAACATATGATTCATATGTATATAAAATTACTTTAAATATACCATTATTTCAATTTTGAGAAAAAGTGATTTAATGTATTGAATATAATATTCGTATGTCATTGGCTAATATTAAACTTCAATTTGAATAAATTTAACAGATTTATTCCGATTAATTTTCAATGCTTATATAATGCATCATAAAAAGCAAAACAATAAGAAACTCCCGAATAAAATCTTGTAAATACACGGCATAACGATTATCGCGGAGCGGACGAGAAGAAAAAGAATAACCGAGAAGGAACATCTTAAATAATCGTGTATTATTCATCATTGTTCAACCCATTGAGCTAGTTAATAAGGCTATTATTATGGGTGTACATCAACTTGTCGACTTGAAAAATACAAAGATTCGCGTTTGTATATACCAATCGCTAGCTCTCTCGAGAATACTTTCGAAAAACATCCATAATAAATGGGTCAGAGATGCAATGCAGCTTACTTGAATGATACGATGTGTTCTCGAACAATAAATGTGCTTATTTTGATCAACGATGCTTTCAAAAAGGCTTATACTATTATCTTTTATATGTATTGGCTGATATTCTACCTAATATGGAAACAAAATATATCGCCAAATAAATAATAAGCATTAATGATGATAAATCCTTGCTTAGTATGGATGAAATGTTATAAATTTACTTTTATGAAATGGCATTGAACGAACGATTAGCCAGACTAGGCAAATCTAAATAAAATAATAAAATTATATTTCGATAGATATCGATCAAGAAAAAATATGCTTATAAATGCCTAGTCGCAAGGCAAATTCAATTTTTAAATAAAAATAAGCAAATCCATGAAACATTCACTCGTAGATGCATACTCGTGCTTTACTGCTATTTCAAATATAAAATTGACAAATATATGAATAAATAAATAAAATATTATTTAATAATATCTATATTTTAACAAACGTAAATCGAATAAAGTTCTAATAAATGCATTTATAAAGCTCTATTAGAGTTTATCGATCAATCAATTATACTAACTGATATTTTATTTGCATTTAATATAAAAATAATAACATGATGCTTGTAATTATAAGAAACCATGAAATTAATAGATCACCAGCGATTTTCGTTAAATTGATTGATGTATCAATTTTCTTAATTTTCCAGGAAATAAATTGCAATCAAATCTAAATGAAATCGGAAAGTCAGAACAAAAAGCAAATGACGAGGACAAGAAACACAAAATGGACTGGTCTTCCAGAAATGGTAAACTACAGTTACTTAACTCTCTTAACACTCGATTATTGTTATTAACTAATTAACGTATAATATCTAAGCATCGTTATACTGTAAAAGATCATTTGTCTATGTACATAATGTATTATTCATTATTATTTACTTGCCATTAAAATACATAATATAAAAAATTTTACATTAAAAACAAACGATTTGTTTTGAGAACATTTTTTCGCTAATTTATAATAAATAGTTGAAATAACGATTCAGATTTCTGAAATGATGCGATGTGATGTAAAATAAAAGCAACTAATTACAATATATGGTTTAGATAGAATATTTTTCATCGGCAAAGACAATTCAAATAGGAAAAAAATTACGAAACCATAACTCTGAGAAATAATAAACGATCTTCAATCGCAATTGAATGGATTAACAGTTTAAAGTGAGTTTTGCGATTAATAAAAAAAACTAAATGAAAAGTATGCCCTTTCAATTTTCATTAGAGATAAAGGTACTTGAAATAATTAAACGAGGTAATTAGAAATTAATTAAATATTAAATTCCAACTGAGTAAAGTGATGGTAAAAACTTTTTTATGGACGGCTAATAATATCTGTAAAATCAAACAAAAAATTACTTTTCAGCTAAAAAATATTTTAATGTAAACCACTAATTATTACTTATTGTAATCATAATAATAAGTAAAAAATTTTAATAAACACAATTATACAAATTAGGCAAATATAAAATACAGTGTATTTAATAATCATCGCCAAAATTAAATAACAATAACAAAGACTGCATAAACACAACGTTATAAAATGTTAATATAATAGTTGTTTATTAAATGAGCACAATTTTATTTTATAATTAGCGAACAATATAAATTATTGTCTGCCAATTAAATTTACTTAGGGATAAATATTTGATTGAGTATATTGGTAAAAAAGAAAATTATTTCTACATTGCAAATTACAAATTGCCATATAAACAAAAAATTTAAATACCCATTACCTTATATTTAAATATTTTCCGATAATTATAAGTTCAAAATATTTTCACATATATGCTATATGTATTACACTCATTGTACTATTTCCAAAGTATTCGTTTACATAACATTAAATACTCGGCATACACGTCCAAACGTTTAATACGTCATAACAAATAAATATAATAACAGAAATAACTTTTAGCGCCATTAATTTTTAAATTATAAATTTAAAATATAAATTGCTATATAATATGAGCTAAAAAATTATAATCATTTATTTTACCAGACATTAAGTAAAAATACTTAAATTCATACTTAATCATATTTAAATAAAAATTGTTTTTAAATACAGAAAATTTAACCCGTCAGTTGTGCTTAATACTTTAAATTATAGCGCGGAAAATATAAAATCTACAATTTAAATTTTGAAATTGCATATATCATTTACATAGAGATGGTATTATTTTAAATCTTGAATTAATGTAACAAATTGGTGTAATAATAGTGAAAACCAAGATCTTTATGAATTTTTCTCGAGTCATATAAAAATTATAATGATGCCGTTGAGTATTAAGAATTATAAGATGCTTTTGTAAAGTATTAAATAATTCTTAAATAATGTAAGAAAATTCAACGTATCGGCGGTAAAAATATTTAAATTAATTTACAAACTATTTAAAAGTAATCGTATAATAACCATATAAGAACTTGGAAATTTTAATTCTTTAAATGGATATTTAAATTCTTATTTGTTTCTTTATAACTAGAATATATAGAACAATTACCTTACTGAAATGCAAAAATTAGTGAAAGTAAATACTAAAAGTATCATCATCATTCATAGTGATCACTTAAGCAATAAAAAAAACTTTGTAATTACTATTAGAATGAATTTTAAGACTTAATTTGAATAATTTTTTAAATAGCATTTGTATAAAGAATTGTATGACTTTTTTTAATACTTAACTTTTTACACAGATCTTATTATTAATTAATGTGACATATTTTTATTGTATTTCTATTCGAAAATCTTAAGTAAATGTTAACACGAGAATTATCCGATAGCTTTTAGTTAATTAATAAATCGAAAGTTTTTATTTTCTAAAGTACAAAAGAGTTTTTATGTAACAGAATTTCAAACGATTGACAATATTGAAAAAATTGAATCAATAATACGTTGCAAGAAAAGTCTTGATTGGTTTATTTACATTTCTCGTATTAATTGAATTCTATTTTACATAAAGCTATTTACATAGTCGAGGCTGATCAATTATTAAGACATTATTACTAATATCCACCACACTGGCATGTAAAATAAGCAAATATACTTATAAGTTTAATATATATATATATATATATATATATATATATGAAAAAACATAGGCTTATCCTTACGCAAATATTAAATTTTTTTTTACACACATACATAATGTAGTAATCTTAAAGCCACGTACTGCGGCTAATTTCAAACGTTATTTTGACAAATCTTTACTTTTTGAGTAAAATGGTCCTCCCTTCGTTGCCCCTACGGTGAGCGGAAAAGATCTACGGCGTTCATGAATCAAATCATAGCTACATCATAGATACATCTAGACTTTATTGAAAAAATCTTATCGCTCGCGAAAGGTGAAAAAAAGGGAGACACAGACGGACAAAGTGACGCAGCTCACAAGCGTAACATCCCTTGTCCATTTGGATTTTTGCACTTTATTCCCAGGCTTCTGTTTTAAATTAGCAAGGACTTGAAACATCGCTCCCCGTGCGTTCCCGACCCGAGCGCTCATCGCCAAGGGATTTCGAATGCCCCAGGCTAAACTGGATATTGTGTCTCGCCTACGCAGCAACTCATTCCTTCGACAACTTTTCCCTTCCTCCGAAAAAGGGAAATTTCACGCTTGTGGCCGCTAACGGGCAAATATTTCGTACTGGCTTAAATTGTCTTTAACCAGCACTTGCGTCGCTTTATACCGCTGATCTGCAAGAGAGCTTCATTTTTTTTTTTTTTTTTTTTTTTTTTTTTTTTTTTAACGCGACCAATAATCGTCGTGATTAGGTTGGAGCGAAGATAGATAACACGTAGAATATAAAATCAATGATATCTCTATAGATATAATATAGATGTGATTGGTAGCGTTATAGGCTGCGGAGAATATTTAACTGCTTGAAAGTCAAATGGAAATGTTGCTTCGATTTTTCGGCTTTCTCACCTGCAGTTCCAAGCTGGAAATTCATTGGTTCTTGATCCTTCCTATTGATTAAAGATTACAGTGTTGCGTTTCTAATCTAATTAAGGTAATGTCCTAATGAAAAATTACTCGCTATTATCATAATATGGCGTATGCAATGCTAAAAGATACTATATTAGATTATTCAAATAGATTAAAAAGTGTAAAATGCATTTACGTCTTTATCCGAATAATTTAAGGAATTTCATACGATAAAAGAAGATTTTATAAAACATTTATGATAAATTACATTACTTATCTGTTGGTAAAAAATGTCCTCTCTTCTATGGCGAAGCCATGGTTTTACCAATCATGTTGAATTTAAAAGATGTAGACTCTTTTCTTAATTACAATCAAAATGACTGGAAGCATTTGGATAAAATAATTTAGTATTATAGAATAATGACAATATAATGTTAAATGATAATATAAATACCTTATTAATTTTTCAACAATAATTTGTAAATAATAAGTAATAACAATTATATTAAAATGCTGTTCGTCATACAATTTTATCACATTTTATGAATTTTTAATGATTTTTTTTTTCATAAAATCAAATGAATAATGTAATTTAAAGAAAGTTGCATTTAAGGTTTTAAAATCGGTTATTTAAATTCTCAAATAAAATCATGAGTTTTCGCGAGAAATTCATAGTTTTATCAATTTCTTCGATTATAGCGTCATCATCGAAACAATATATCAATTCTATTTACCAAATCTCTTAATTCTAAAGAATTATTAAGATATTTACCTAACAATACATTTAGGGACAAAATATCAGTTTGTTTGATAATAGAGTGAAAAATGTTTGTTTTCACTCGCAGAGCTTTTAACGGATATTTATTTTTACGTACAACACATGCACATGTAGCACTTGATAGTCTTTCCAGCTTTAATGCTAAAGTTTTCGAGAAAAATGTCACGACTTAATTCAACATTCATATCATATTTAAATATAAATATAAAATTTCATTTAATTTAATTGTTTAATTATTTCGTAATTTCAGCTTTATTTAATAATCTCTCATTTATCATTCCCCGGTGTAATATTTGTAGTTCACGAATAGTATTTTTGTTTTTAGTATTGTTTCCAACTTGAGTTATATTAATCTACGAAGCTTTAAAACTTTTAGAATATCTACGACACTTTTAAAGTAGAAATAAAGATAGAATCAACAAAAGAGCAAAACAAAAAAACAAAACAAAATTTGTTGAATTTAAGAAAAATTGTTAACGTTTCGAATTTTTTAATCATTTAATTACTCATCGATAAATCATACGTTTCTAATTTACAACAACACATTTTACAAACACATTTGTTGCATCGATTAATAATATTTATAAATATTTTAAGATTCTTCGTAGACATATGCTTATATCAATTTGAAAAAATAATCTGAATACATTGTACTCTTATTTAAATGTCCGCATATTATTTGAATAAATAATTTTATTATTTACTATGTCCAATACAAGCATCTTGCAAACCGTTCATTTTATTATTTTTTTCTATATCGTGTTTCATTCGAATTATATATTTTTTCTTTATTTATTTCATCGAATTCATCGTTGTGTATTCAGTGAAAATAAAATTCAATAATTTACAAAAAAACAAAAACAATAACAAAGCAAAAAAACTGCCATTAAAGCATTTTAATATATTAAAATGTCCAGTACGTTGTAATGCTATAAAATACTGAGATAAATGATCTTTATTAATAATTGAAAAATTCTCATATATGAAGTATATTATTAATATTTAAAATACATACAATTTATATACTTACGAATTATTTTTTATTATGTGAGTATTGTTATTATGACTTTTAAATTTTGAAATTCGTAATGCAATATGATGTAA